CCTATGTTGTTTTATATTTTTCCTGTAGGTCTTTCTTTCAAGAAGTATCTTCTGTTCTTCTAGCCACTCCAGGTTGGTCTCAAATGCATACTAACTTTTGTAGACTTTTTAATAGTTGTCAATATTGTTAGAGTTTAATAGTATTCTGTAGTGTTATTGATTTGTTTGCCCATATTACTAATAAGATTGAGCATCTTTTCAAGTGTTCACTGGCAATTCTTTTGTGTGAAGTACCTATTCAAGTTTTTGACCATTTAAAAATTGGATTGTGTGTTTTACTTATTGATTTTTAAAAGTTATTTACTTATATGTATCCAGAATCCTTTGTTAGTTATATGTGGCACAAGGTAGAAGGCACTTGGACAGAGATAAGTTATAGATATGACCAGGTTATTCCAGGTGAGCTGAAAAGCACTAAACAAAGCTATAGGGGCAGAATACTGAAAGGAATGTTTAGGGAGACAATAACTAGTCTAGTAGAAAAGGGAGTAACTGACCTAAATCTGAATCCCAGAGTAATAAAGGCCATCGAAGAAAAACTAGGGACACATATGAGGGCTCTAATACAGGGCACAAACGACTACTAAACTTTGTGAAAACTATATAAACAAAAGTAGACAAAATAGATGATTGGGACATACTAAAAATTAAAACCTTATGTGCATCAAAAAACTTCACCAAAAGACTAAAAAGTGAGCCCACAGAATGGGAAAAAATCTTTTGCAATGACACATCAGACAAGGGATTCATTTCTAAAACATATAGGAAACTACAACACCTCTACAAGAAAACGACAAATAACCCAATTAAAAAATGGGCACAGGACACGAACAGACACTTCACCAAGGAGGAGATCCAGGCAGCCAACAAACATATGAAGATATGTTCACAATCTCTAGCCATTAGAGAGATGCAAATCAAAACAACAATGAGATATCATCTCACACCAGCAATAACAGCAAAGATAAAAGAAGTAGAGGACAATAAATGCTGGCGGGGATGTGGAGAGACTGGGACCCCCCTACATTGCTGGTGGGATTGCAAAATGGTCCAACCACTCTGGAAAACAGCATGGCACTTCCTCAGAAAGTTGGAAACAGAAATACCTTATCATCTAGCAATTCCTCTACTTGGTATTTATCCACAAGAAATACGAGCCATAACACGAGTAGACATATGCACACCATAGCATATGGTAGCATATAATGTTCATAGTAGCACTATTTACAATAGCAAAAAGATGGAGACAGTCTAAGTGCCTATCAATGGAAGAATGAATACACAAAGTTTGGTGCATACACACAATGGAATATTATGTTACCTTGAAGAATAACAAGGAAGCTGCAAGCCACTGCATAACATGGATGAACCTTGAGGACACTATGTTGAGTGAAATTAGTCAGTCACAAAAGGAGAAATACTGCATAGGAGTATTATTGTTAAAGACTAAGAAAAAGTACCCACACTAAAAGGGAAAAACCCCCACAACTTTGTTGGTAATCAGGGTGTCGTGGGTGGGGCAAGGTGAGGGAGGGGAAGGTGGAGCACAGGGCAGGGAATAGACACAGGATAGTTTGTGTGTTGTGGGAGACAATACACTAGAAGGGGAAGGGGAATGGGAGAGCAAGGCAGATGGGAGAACATTTAGGCAGGTCTGCATGAGCTAAATGGGAGAGGTAAACAGTGATGTGTGATCAACCTTGGAACAACAGGGCTCTGGAATACAGGGATTGAAGCATGGTTTGAATGGGTAAGAGGGGAAATAATGTTAAGATGCTTGATTATCTTTTGAATCTTGGTTTCCCTTATCTACTATTATAAAAGAGACACTTGAAGGGGAGAGAAAGGAATAGCCAGAAACATCACCATAGAAAGCTTGTAAGTCCATCTTCAGTCTATAACTAATTGGAATACTTAAAATGAAGCTAGAACTTGCCTAGTGAAGGAGGCTTTCTGCGGAGCCTTTGCATTGCATAAGACATTAGGTATAATCCTGAACCCCATCCATAGTCTTCTGAGGTGGGAAATTTCCACTTGAAAGAACAAGCAGACCAGTCTGGAGTGGCTAGAAGAACAGAAGATACTTCTTGAAAGAAAGACCAGCAGGAAAAAAAAAAATAATAACAACAGTCCGATTGACTACTACAAGAACAAGCAAGTTGTTTGCCGGGAGCCATCAAGGTAAGCAGTTGGGTCCCCTCAGGGCAAACCCCTTTCCAAACCAGGCATTTGGTCTTGCTGGTGACCATGATGGTCACCAATAAGGGGAAGTTGGGGAAAAACAGCAATGAAGATGTGAGCTAGGTACAACCATTTTCAAAAGACTCCTATCAACCTGGATTGAGACCTGGTTGGACAGCAGTATGGCAAGACCTGGGAACTCCTGAGCTCAGGGGCAGGGACATGGACACAGAGGACTAGAACACAGAGTGAAGCGTCCAGCTGATATTATGTGAGGGGAGATGCACAAGAACACCCATACTAGCAGATAGTACCCATTTGACTTGGTTTCAATGGCTGGATGATCAGAATTTGACTAAAGGAAGAAAGAAGAGGAAAAAAAGAGTAATCCGCTACAATTTGATGAACTTGACCTATACTTTTGGATGTAGTAGCTCAAAAGAGGGAATAAATCTTTACAGCTAGGATCATTCCTACCCCCTTGGTACACAGGGTTGACAGGGATGGGCAAATTAGACATTGGTTACCTAAAATGAGGAAGAGGGGGGCTACAAAGGAATGAAGTGACTGGCTTACAAGCTTTCAAGAGAGAACCTAGTTTCAGTGGGTGTGGGGGAAGATAGACTCTCCACTGAATAGTTTCCAACCTGTCTGGATGCGGCTGGTGAAAAGAGGTGGGAATAAGACTCTTGTGGTTCAATAGTGAATAACTGCTATCAGGACTGATTGTGAGTGTTGCCAACGTGAAGGTAGACATTTTGCAACAAAAGGAGGGGAGTGACTGATCTTGTAGTCCAGGAGTGGAGGACCCTGGTACCATCAAGGGAGAAGAGCGTAGTGCAGAACCCTATCCAGAGAAGCAGCAATGCTAGAGATGGAGGCAGAGATGATGATATGGAGAGATGGAGTGGCTGGGGACTCTAGACTCAGTGAAGGAGAGGGGCTGTATGCTGATGGCTGGGGGCAGGCTTGTGTGGTATACCCTTTGGTTGTTTGGATGGTTGTATATTCCTGAGTGCTTTTGTATATATCCAGATTAAAAACAAACAAATAAACAAACAAACAACAGAGGGAATGGAAGCAAATGCTTTTGAATGATGATATATGGAGGGGATTTTAATCACTGCAATGAAACGAAATACAATAGGATAAATGTAAAGCTGATACTCTCCCACGTAAACTATAACTCAATTCACAATAAAAACTTAAAAAGAAAAAAAGAAGCAACTGTAGGTTAAAATGGAAGATAAGTTCAGAAAGATCTGTTTGGTTTATTTTGTGGAGGAGGATATTGAGGAAATTCATTTTAATTAATGTCAGAGCTTAGCCTAAAGACTCATATCCAGTTTCTAAAATTGTTAAAAATAACTGCAGGATGAATAGCCATATACTTTTTTCTCCTAATTTTACACTGAAGAAAAGCATATATATTCATGATAGGAAGGATAAACCCCCAAAATAACATCTGAAAACTTACTTAGAAGAAGAGCTGTATAGATATGATTAAGGTTAAAAATCTTGAGATGGGGAGAGTAGCCTGTATTATCCAGGTTAATCCAATCTAATCGTATACATTTTTTTCTCATCTGAAAGAGGTAGCTATAACAGTGGAAGAATGCTCAGAGAGATGCAAGGTTACTAGTTTTGAAGATGGAAGAAAGGGACCATAAGTGAAGCAATGTGAGTGGCCTCCAGAAACTTGAAAAGACAGGGGAATATATTATCTTAAAGCCTTAAAGTATTCAGAAAGGAACATAGCAATGCTGACATTCATTTTGGTCCCATTATACATGTGGTGAGCTGCTGATCTGCAGAAGTACAGATAAATATTAAGGCACAAGTTTGTGGTAATTTGTTAACAGCAGCAGTAGAGAACAAATACACTGTATTACTGGACATATTCGAATTCAAGAAAGCAAATGTAAAGGGTTTTTGTGAGTTTGTTTGTTTAAGATACCTTGGGTGAGGAAAGAGATTGGAAAAACTTAAAATCCTGTTCCACTTCAAAGGCCTTGGGTGGTGTACGTTTGAAAAGCAAAGACATTGAACTCATTTTTCTCCATCTAAAATATAAAGATATAAGAAAATATTAATTATGGCCCCACATTTTTTATCCTACCAACTGAAGTATTCACTTGTCCTTCCTTTGCTGGCACTCAAATTCCCAGAGTCTCTTTGCATTAACCCTAAGCACACTACTTTCTGCACTTAATTCTTATGCCACCTGGCTTCCCAGAATTTTCTCTAAGAAACCAAAGAGATTTCTAATAAGGTGGAACAGTCCATGTATTTAAATTCATTGATAGCCATTAGAAGAAAATTGTGTATTAGGGACTGGAAACATGTGTTACAAAACAAGTATTTGCCTTTTATATGACTCAGGGCAGCTTCCCTAGCGTTGCTATTGTTAGGTGCCTTTCTTGCTTTTAAACCATCAATATTCCTTTGTTATGTCTGCCTCTTGGTCTATGTACGGGACTCTCATGAGCGCAATTAAGTATTCTGGAATATGCATTCTTTACAATGCTATTCCTAGCTTTTCATGATCCACATAGTCTTTGCATAGTCAATAAAGCACAAGCAAACATATTTCTGGTATTCTGTTTTCAGTCATGATCTGTATGATGTTAGTAATGATATCCCTAGTTCAATGTCTTTTTTTGAATTTGGCTTCATTTTCTACAATAATTTTTGAATTATTTTAAGCAAAACATTACTTACATGTAATATTAATAATATTTTTCAAAGATTTCCTCATCCCACTGGGTCACCTCTCTTTGGAATGTGCACACTCCCCTATTGTTAAAATATACTTGTTGGTGCTGTTGAGTCGGGACCAACTCATAGTGGCCTTACACACAACAGAATGAAACACTGCCCAGTCTTGTGCCAGTATCACAGCTGCTGCTATGCTTGAGCCCATTACTGCTGCCACTGTGTCAATCCATCTGGTTAGGGGATTTCATCTTTTTTGCTGACCATCCACTTTACCAAGCATGATGTTCTTCTCCAGGGACTGGTCCCTCCTCATAATATGTCGGAAATATGAGAAAAGTATGGCATTCTAGTTCCTAATGAGCATTTTGGCTGTACTTCTTTCAACACAGAATTTCTTATGGGAGTCAATGGTACTTTTAATATTCCCCTCCACTACTATTATTCAAATGCATCAATTCTTCTATGGTCTTCCTTATTCACTGTACAACTTTGACATGCATTGAGAATACCATGGTTTGGGTCAGGTGCACCTTAGTTCTTAAACTGACATCCTTGCTTTGAACAGTTTAAAGAGGTCTTGTGCAGCAGATTTGCTTAATGTAATATGTTGTTTGATTTTT